AAGACAGTTGGATGGTGCCTTGAACACCTCCTGTCAACTCCTGCAGCCAAGCTAGTGCCAAACATCTTGCTCTGCTTCCCTTTGGGCCACATCATTGAGGCCAAGAGGTCTTCTCACCTGGGCAGCCCAGGACCTCCATACACACTGACCAGGCTTGAGCCCCTGGGAGTCCTGCTAACTCATTGGTTTCGCTTCACCCCTGGAGGCACACTCCATTCTCTCTCCGGACAGATGGATGCCGACCACAACAATCCACAGGAACATAGGACACTGCCTTGTATTGAGTCAGACCCATAGCTGTCAACTTACAGATTTGAAAATAAAGGACCAGCAGCCAAAATAAGGGATTTTCCAGGCACAGGTATGTTCAACTTCTGAGCCCCTCCGAGCCAAAGGCAGAAAGCCCAGCCAGCAGCCAAACGAAGCCTCAAGCAGTGGTTCCCACAGCGCAGCAGCCCGGCAAAGGGGATGCAGCAAGGAAAACCACCGTCACATCTCCGCTGGGAAGCGCTAAGCAAAGGCGAGTCCCCAGGCAACGTGGCCGATTTGATCGGCACAAGGCATGCAAGCTCCACCTCGCAGTCGTTCTTAGACTCCTTATTGGGTGAGCAACGCAGCCAAGCAACACAGTTGGAGCCTCCCTCCTCCCTGGCCGGCTGGCAGGGAGGGAGGGAGAGGAGCTGCTTCCTTTGAAACCCGGGAAATTTAAGGGACATCATCAATAAGGGACAGCGGCAGGACACAGCGCTGGGATAAGGGACTTTCCCGCCAAATAAGGGACGGTTGACAGCTACGGTCAGACCACTGGTGCATCTAGCTCAGTATAGCCTACACTGGCTGGCAGCCTCGCTCCACGATTTCCAGTCGTTCTCTTCCAGCCCTACCTAGCTATGCCGGGATTGGAACTTGGGACCTTCTGCCTGCAAAGCAGATTCTCTACCACTGAACTATACAGTCTTCCCCCCTTGCAGGTATAGATACACCTGTCTGGTGGTGGGTAAGTTGTAAGCTGTGGGTTCAGAGGAAAATGACATGCAAAGAAGTACAGATAGCGACATGCTGATTTATTCGTTTTTTAGCCCTGCCAAATTCAACCCCTTTGGCAACATTTCCTTTTCCCTCTTGCTTCTCCAGAAGGCTCCCTTTCCCCTCGACAGCTCCTTGAGCAACCACCACTTTGACATTTCCCACTTGACATGCCCTTACTGCCTTTGGATTGTTTCCCTAGCAAACAGAGTCATGTGTCGCTGGGTTAAGTGTTGGGTGGAACTCAGCTCCTACCTAAGGGAATATCACTTTTTCTTAGGAGAAATGATAGACAGCCTAATAGTAAAATAATCATCATAATAACAGTCCACGATTGGCCCACGGTTTGAACAGGAAACATCAGACAGTGGTCCCTCTTACAGACTGAATGTTTACTTGGATATGATTCTTATTGTGTCAAACTGGGCTTGCTGCCATGTGAATGCAGACTGCAATATTGTTCTGAACACTTAACATGGAGTTTTCTTCTGAACAGGCATGTGTAGCATTGCCCTGTAATTGTTCTAACCACATTGTCTCTTATAAAGGTGTACGGCTTAGATCTTCTCCCAGACCGCAGGCAAGATGGATTTTTTTTATCATCTCTCTCTGTTGCTTGTGAATATTTATTAACACATTTCGCTGCCTCAAGCAGAATTGCAACTCTTCAATTTTTTTAATGGTACTTTTTAAAAAAAGACCATCTGAAGCAGAGCATCAGTTCATGTACCTTAACATTGTCCACACTGACTGGCAGCATCTCTCCAGGGTTGCAGGCAAGGTTCTCTCCAAATCTCCCCAGCTCGGGATTGGACCTGGAACTTCTGCTTACTAGGTAGTAGCTCTACCACTGAACTACAGCCCTTCTCTTTTTTGACCTTTTATGTGAGCCAGATACAAAGTAATTAGTTGTTGTTGTTGTTGTTGTTTAGTCGTTTAGTCGTGTCCGACTCTTTGTGACCCCATGGACCAGAGCACGCCAGGCACTCCTGTCTTCCACTGCCTCCCGCAGTTTGGTCAGACTCATGCTGGTAGCTTCGAGAACACTATCCAACCATCTCGTCCTCTGTTGTCCCCTTCTCCTTGTGCCCTCCATCTTTCCCAGCATCAGGGTCTTTTCCAGAGAGTCTTCTCTTCTCATGAGGTGGCCAAAGTATTGGAGCCTCAGCTTCAGGATCTGTCCTTCCAGTGAGCACTCAGGGCTGAAGTGGTCTCTTAAAGGTAAAGGTAAAGGGACCCCTGACCATTAGGTCCAGTCGTCTGGGGTTGTGCGCTCATCTTGCTCTATAGGCCGAGGGAGCCGGCGTTTGTAAGCAAACAGCTTCCAGGTCATGTGGCCAGCATGACTAAGCTGCTTATGGCGAACCAGAGCAGTGCACAGAAACACCGTTTACCTTCCCGCCAGAGTGGTACCTATTTATCTACTTTGACGTGCTTTTGAACTGCTAGGTTGGCAGGAGCAGGGACCGAGCAACGGGAGCTCACCCCGTCGCGGGGATTCGAACCGCTGACCTTCTGATCGGCAAGTCCTAGGCTCTGTGGTTTAACCCATAGCACCACCCGCATCCCTGAAGTGGTCTCTTAGCATGTACCATATATGTGGGAAATAAATATAGGAAGTAAACCATAAATTAATATAACGCGATGGAGTTCCCAGGAGCAGGTGTTGTCACCAACACCTTCATATGGAATGGGTCTCCTGATGAGGTTGTATCTCCCGGAGACCCTCTCTTGCAGAGTACAGGTGATCTTTTAGGTCCTAAGCTCTATAAGGCTGTGTACACCAGAAAAAGGAACTCGGACTTTACTCATTTAACTTGGCCAGCTGACAGCTGGCGCAATACTTTATGCAGAAGTGTCAACGTGTGGAAACAGTCTGCTCCGGTGGTTTACATAGGATACAGCTGTAGATGAGAAGATAAGAGAGGAACCTGGCTGTTGCATCAGGCCAATGGCCTACCTAGTCCAGCATTCTCAAAATGTCCAGCCAGCTGCCTCAACGCCAAGCCCCGGCCTGAGCACCCGCAGCAAATGCACATGACAGCAGTACTTGGTTGCAACCCTAATTTGAGAGCAAATGCCATTAATGTTAATAGGATTTATGCATGAGGGAACATTGCCGGGGATTATTACGTTTTAAAACTAAAAGAAGGGGGTTGGTTCAAGAGCATGGGTAGGCAAACTAAGGTCTGGGGGCCGGATCTGGCCCAATCGCCTTCTAAATCCGGCCCACGGACGGTCCAGGAATCAGCGTGTTTTTACATGAGTAGAATGTGTGCTTTTTAAAAAAAATGCATCTCTGGGTGATTTGTGTGGCCTGCCTGGTGTTTTTACACGAGTAGAATGTGTGCTTTTATTTAAACTGCATCTCTGGATTATTTGTGGGGCATAGGAATTCATTCTTTTTTTCTTTTCCCAAAAAATATAGTCCGGCCCCCCACAAGGTCTGAGGGGCAGTGGACCGGCCCCCTGCTGAAAAAGTTTGCTGAGCGCTGTTCAAGAGCCTTCTTTTAGTGCGGCTCCCCTTTCAGTCTGAGCTCCCTTATTGGCGATTGGTAGAAATCAAAGCCTTCATTTGCAGGCACTGGAAGGCGACGCTTTGGGGAACCGAAGGTTTGCATCCATAAGAGGCAAATTAGCCCCCTTTTTTGGTATTACAGTATTGTTGTTGCAAATCCAGATGTCGGGGAACAGTCTATTTTTTAAAAATATATTTTTATTAATTTTTACATATTAATTATCACTCATACAACAAAACTTCACTTCTTATACAATCTTTTGGACTTCCGTCAGCCCTTCTGATGATCCTCCATTCTTATCACTTCTTCTGCATTTCTTAAATTCCTATTGCCTTTAATTATCTTAACTAACAATCCCCCTCATTACCTTTTTTTTTGCAATATTTCAAATAGTCCACCTTACAAAACTTCTTGCAAACCTACAAGCGTAATCTGACCACCATAATTACTTTCCAGATAGTCCGTAAATTTATGCCAGTCTTCTGTGAATCTCTGGTCCTGCAGATTTCAAATTCTTCCTGTTAATTTATCTAATTCTGCATAGTCCATCAGTTTCATCCTCCATTCTTATTTTGTCGGTAGTTCTTCTTGCTTCCAATTTTGTGCCGATAATATTCTTGCTGCCATCACTGCATATAAAAATAATTTACAATCCTTTCTTTTTATATCATCTACAATGCCAGGTAATAATGCTTCTGGTTTCTTAGTAAATGTATATTTCAACATTTTTTTCATCTCATTATATAATCATTTCCCAGACGTTTTTCACTTTTTTACATTCCCACCACATATGGTAAAATGTTCCTTCTTTTTCTTTACATTTCCAACATTTGTTACTCACTTTATACATTTTGGCTAATTTAACAGGTGTAATATACCATCTATACATCATTTTCCATCATATTTTCTTTTAAGGCATTGCACGCAGTAAATTTCAAACCTTCTTTCCACAATTTCCCCAGTCATCTAGCTGTATATTATACCTAAAGTCTTTGGCCCAATGTATCCTAACCGACTTTACCTCCTCATCTTTCAGGTCCGGGAACATTCTAGCGGAGGGAGGGAGGGGGTTGTGATTCCGGCTTGACCCCCAGCCCCCTCCTGATTCGCGGTCTCCTCCTCTCTTTAGGGGGCGCCAGTTTCGCGATGAATGGAGCGGGGGTGGGAATAGAACGTTGCAACATTTGGTTTCCAGGGACGCCTGCGCGGTCGCCGGGGGCGGGGGAGCATCCCCGGATCTGACGCGCGCGCTCCAGCACGAGAGGGGAAATAAACAACAAGAGAAAAAGCGAGAGAGAGAGAAGAGGAGAGATCAGCTGGCGGATGGGGGCAGGGAAGCGGCCGGTGTCTTGATCCAGGCAAGATCCGATGGGCGGCGGTGGGGCGCACGATCCGGTGAACTGCAAGGCGGGGGAAAAAAATAAAAGTTTGCGAATTAATGGGGTTTACAGCTGGGGAATCCCATTCAGGAGAGGCGGGGTGGCGAATTCTTCCACGATCTTAAGCTGGGAGCGTGTGGGGCGAGGATGGGAATGGGTTTGGTTTGATGCTGAATGGGGCTTGATCGGGGATCTGCAACAGAGATCATTCATACGGATCTGTTGTGGCTGGAGAAGGGCCTGCAAGGGAGCCGGGAGGGTCGCGTCGACTTTTCCTTTTGGCCTCCGTTGAGGTTTCCAGGTATGGATACTGTATTTTCGGAGAGTTGCACACGCAGAAAGGACTTTCCCTCCGGGGTGGCTCCCCAGCGCCCACCCCCCCTTCTCCTAGCTGCACCGTCGGGAGAAGGCGAACCTGATGGAATTTTCCCGGCTCGGCAGCCCTTAACGATACAGGAGCCCAAGCGGCTTTTATGACCCGGAGTTGTTTATATATATATATTTTTATGGCTTTGCAATGAGGTTGTGTGGAGAGGGGACGCCTTAGTTTCTCGATCGCTGGGGAAAGAAAGGGCGGATTTCTTCCTGCCAGCGTTTTGCAAATTTACAAAAGGCGCAAAAGAAATGTGGGGGGGGGGCGGTTATAGTCGTTTCGGCGGGGCAAATAACTCAGTGCCTACCGAAGGAAAAGTGGAGGAGAGCTTTTGTTCGCACTTGCTTTCGTTCTCTGCCGAGCTTGCCGGCTGCTGTAGTTATTTATTTGAACCACAGCTTGGTGCGCAAGAGAGGCGCTTCGCAACATTAGCGCCTGCACGTCTGGCTGCTGTTCAAATCGAAAAGAGCAGAATCGCGCTTTGCTCCAATCCATTGGTGAAAACCCTGCTTGCAATCTCAGGAATGCGTCAGCCGTGCGGCTCTTTTGGTGTCAGCGTTGGATTTTCACAGGATCTCGCTAATTTTTGTGGCTGTGTGTGTGTGTGAGAGAGAGAGAGAGAGAGGGAGGGAGAGAAATTCATCTTTTTTTGGGAGGGAGTGTTGTGTTGCATTTGTGCATCGGTTTTATACCCCGCTTTTCCTCCCAAAGGAGCTCAGAGCGACGAACACACCGGCATTTCGACAACAGCAAAACCAAAAAATAGTTTGATGCAAAGGCAGGGTAGGATTAGTTACTGCTCTGGCCAACAGCCTGTGACTTCGAAGCTGTTCCTTTGTATTATGTATATTTAGGGGCTGGAAAGGAGAGAGGAAATAAGTCAGGTTTTGCAGTTCTAACAGGTTCTGCATCCCCACTAGGAAATTCTTCCCTTCTCCAAATGGTGAGGTAGCGCTGCTAAGTAGTTACCTTCATTACTGGGCTTTTCACTGGCCTTAGCTTAGGCTGTGTACACACCCTAATCTTAAGGCACACAAATTTCGCAAACAATCCCAGGTACTGCAGTTTAACCCTTAAAGGAAAGGTAAAGGGACCCCTGGCCATTAGGTCCAGTCGTGGCCAACTCTGGGGTTGCGGCGCTCATCTCGCTTTATTTTCCAAGGGAGCCAGCATACAGCTTCCGGGTCATGTGGCCAGCATGACTAAGCCGCTTCTGGCGAACCAGAGCAGCACACGGAAACGCCGTTTACCTTCCCGCCAGAGCGGTACCTATTGATCTACTTGCACTTTGACGTGCTTTCGAACTGCTAGGTTGGCAGGAGCAGAGACCGAGCAAAGGGAGCTCACCCCGTCACGGGGATTCGAACCGTCAACCTCTGATCGGCAAGTCCTAGGCTCTGTGGTTTAACCCACAGCGCCACCTGCGTCCCTTATGGAGCTACAATTCCCAGCACCCGTAGCAAACTACAGTTCCCAAGATTCTTTTGCAGGAAGCAGTGTCCTTTAAATGTGTGATATGTAGGCACTCTGCTTTTCCTTCTCCTCTCCTTGCCCTCTCTTCTGAGGATTGGTCAGCTATTCCATGCTTGCACCTTTAGGAACAAATAAGTCTTTCTAGAGATACTCTCGTGCCTCTTAAGCAGGGATTTCTGGCCTGGGGAAAAAATTGATTCCTTTTTATAGAACTCATGATGAACTGGTCTGTGAATCAAGATGCAGCTTCTGAGGAAGGGTTATAGCTCAGTGGTAGAACTCTTGCCTGGTACATATAAAGTCCCAGGTTCAATCCCCAGGTATGGCTGGGAGAGTTTCTCTGCCTGAAATCTTAAGAACTGCTAGTTGGTGTAGACATTACTGAGTCTGATGGGCCAATAGCAGTTTCCTGTGTTCCCTCTGTCCTTTCTGGGACTTTTAATCCACCGCTTCTTTGCAGCATGGCCCGTCTGCTCAGCCTTAGCTGCCTCCTCACCTTAAGAGAGGGCACTTCCAGACAACCTGTTTATTGAGCATGCACACTGATTTGCTGGCAGGAAGCCTAGGTGACGAGTTGCATCAGATTCAGGTCACACTTCCCAGTGCATGTTCTCCACCACTTTCCTTGTTGCAAAACACCCAGGCTATCTCCACGTTGCAAGCAATTATAATTGTGCAACCTGCATTTGGTGGGATGCGATTGCATCCCAGTCCCAAAAAAACAACTCCAAAAACTGGCGAGTCCAGAATTTGTCAGTGACAAATGTAGAGGCATGGGAGAAGCTCTGGGATCTGACCTCAGAAACTTCACACGAGATGGGAAGGACTTTCCCCAGGGCTGTAGCCAGGTGGGTGTCAAGGCTGGAGTCAGATGCAGCAGGTCAGTTGTCGGTGAAGTTAACTCTTCAAGGAAACGACACACAACTCGGCAACACTTCACAGTAGGTCTTGCCCTGTGGAGCAGATCCCTGCCCTCCACCCTTTCTAAGGCTCCTCCTCTCCTGGATATTTCCCAAGCAGTCTCAAACTGCCTCCCTCTAGCCTCTGTTCTGCCCTCCTCAATATTCAGCACGTTTTTCGAAACCAGGGTGGAGGTGGGCTTGTCGCAGGAGGAGAGGGAGACCCCCCTGGATTCTTCAGCAGTATCCTGATTCCTCTCCTCTGCTTCAGCCTCAGAGTCTGAACAGCTCCCTGTCACATATTCCTCCTGCTCACTAAACCCTGTTGCTCCTTCAGCTTCTGGAACCTCCTCTCAATTTCCCCCTTCTCATTGGTGTCCTGCCGCCAATCCCTGGGCTCTGAGCCTTCCTCCTCTGGGGTTTCCCTTGGGGGTCCCCAGCTGGTGCCTCCCACCACTCGTGTTCTTCCAGCCAGTCCCTGTCAGTGGGGGACTGGCCCCCTCAACAAAATGCCAAGCTATAATATCTTCTGTGCGTTCTCAGCTTTCATCTTTAAAAAGTCTTACTTACTGAGAAACCAGGAAAAATATGTTCGCTGTGTTCTACTTGGTAGAGAGTAAGGGGGCCCATGTCCCTCCCTCCAGATGTTTTTGAACTCCCATCAACCCCAGCCAGTGGCTATAGCTAAAGGAAGCTGGAGTCCAGCAACATCGGTGTTTTGTCAATAAGTGTGAAGAAACCGGGGTGAATGACGGGTACTTGGAACATTGGTTTCTAATTCCAGAATTGAATAGATAAAATAACTTTTGAACTTAACTGGACTGCACACGTTTTCTTGCCACCACTGCTTTTGCATGGGCTTTGTCCTGGGTCAATTGGTTGCGCAACAACTGTGCAACATTTCTGTGGCCGTTTGTGGTTATGGACCTAAATTCCCTACACATTAAAAAAAAAAACAAGCATCTGACATCAGCCCTGCATTATGAAAAAGCAAGATCCTGTACTGTGAGCAGTATAAATTTTGCACATTGAAATTACTTTTCATAACTCTGTTTTATTTTGCACAAAAGAACAGCTATGATTTTGCCCTTTTTTTTACTCCTCCTGAGACACCTGCATGCGATTTGTGCTCATGTGCTTTCAAGCAGAGTATTTGCAGCTAAAGACTTGCTCTGGGGCCACCTTCTGTACTCTGTGCTACAGCAGTATTTATTTACTAACTTAGTGCATTCATACCCCCTTTTTTTTTTCAAGGAGCCCAAGGTATGGCTCTTCGCTCTTCGTTTACTTCCCACAACACCCCTGAGAGGTAGGTTAGGCTGAGAGGAAATGACTGGCCTGACATCACCCAGCGAGCTTTGTGGGGATTTGGCCCTCTGGTCTCCCAGGTCCTAGTCTGACACTTTTACACCTGTGCTGCACTGGCTTGCGCCCTGGGTGCAATCCGTACTATGGTAGCTCAACATCCACCTTCTAAGGGGGTTGTTTTACTGAGCAGTAAATAAATGAAGGGACGTGGGTGGCTCTTGCCGATCAGAAGGTTCGAATCCCCGCAACGGGGTGAGCTCCCGTTGCACGGTCCCTGTTCCTGCCAACCTAGCAGTTTGAAAGCACGTCAAAGTGCAAGTAGATAAATAGGTACCGCTCCAGCGGGAAGGTAAACAGCGTTTCCATGCGTTGCTCTGGTTCACCAGAAGCGGCTTAGTTATGCCAATAAAGCGAGATGAGCACCACAACCCCAGAGTTGGCCACGACTGGACCTAATGGTCAGGGGTCCCTTTACCTAAATAAATGAAGGAGCATCTCCACCCCCATCGTCCAGCCCAGACACTGAGGTCCGGCGCCAAGGTCCTTCTGGCAGTTCCCTCACTGCGAGAAGCGAGGTTACAGGGAACCAGGCAGAGGGCCTTCTCGGTAGTGGCACCCGCCCTGTGGAACGCCCTCCCATCAGATGTCAGGGAAATAAACAACTATGTTACTTTTACAAGACATCTGAAGGCAGCCCTGTTTGGGGAAGTTTTTAATGTTTGATGTTTTATCGTGTTTTAATATTCTGCTGGGAGCCACCCAGAATGGCTGGGGAAACCTGGCCAGATGGGCAGGGCATAAATTTATTATTATTATTTTATTATAAAGTTGTTTATGTGGTCATTGGGACACATGCATGGGAAGAGGCAACTGAACACCTCTGCCCCAATCTCCTCTTTTGACTGCCGTAAACTAATGTTTAAAGAGTCATATTTTTGTTGGTGGGAAAATACTGCAATCCTACTCCCCCCCCCCCAACTGGCACCCAGGATATGATATGATAATTTTAATTGCTGTTTTAACTGTTTTTCCATCTTAATGGGGTTGCATTATTGCACATTTTAATTATGGATGTTGCAATATTTTGATGGAATTGTTCTAGCATGTGTGTTGCAATTGGTTTTATACCTACTAAGAAGAGGTTTGGGGACAGGGGTGGCGCTGTGGTCTAAACCACTGAGCCTAGGGCTTGCTGATCTGAAGGTTGGCGGTTCGAATCCCCGCGACGGGGTGAGCTCCTGTTGCTCG